TACTTGTAGTTATTATTTTAAATATTAAATATTTTAATTATAATTATTTATAAATTATTTTAATTATAATTATTTTTTAATGTAAGCTTTTTAAAAAGTACAACACACAGAAAAACGGACAAGTTTAGATCAGTAAATTTTCATATTAAATCACACCCATATGAAGAAACAGCACAGGCTGGGCGCAGTGGCTCACACCTGTAATCTCAGCACTTTGGGAGGCCAAGGTGGGGGGATCACCTGAACCTAGGAGTTTAAGACCAGCCTGAGCAACACAGGGAAACTTTGCCTCTCAAAAAAAAAAAAAAAATTGGGCGTGGTGGACAAGCCTGTAGTCCCAGCTACTGGAAAGGCTGACATAGGAAAACCACCTGAGCCCAGGAAGTGGAGGCTGCAGTGAGCCGCGACCGCGCCACTGTGCTCCAGGCTGGGCAACAGAGTGAGAGCTGGTCTCAAAAAGGAAAACATACAATGCACAACCTTGGCGGTTAGAAAGTATTTTTTGAAATTCATTAAACTTCAGAACATCTGTTTATCAAAAAAGATAGTGAAACGGCAAACCACAGAGCAAGAAAATATTTGCCACACAGTGCTCTCTTCAGCAGCACATATACTAAAATTGGAACGATACAGGGAAGATTAGCATGGCCCCTGTGCAAGGATCACATGCAAATTCGTGAAGCGTTCCATATTTTTGAGAAATGCAAACCAAAACTACATTGAGATACCATCTCACACCAGTTAGAATGGCGATCATTAAAACATCTGGAGACAACAGATGCTGGAGAGGATGCGGAGAAATAGGAACACTTTTACACTGTTGGTGGGAGTGTAAATTAGCTCAACCATTGTGGAAGACAGTGTGGCGATTCCTCAAGAATAGAATTTCTAGAAATAGAAGTTCCATTTGACCCAGCAATCCCATTACTGGGTATATATCCAGAGGATTATAAATCGTTCTACTATAAGAACACGTGCACACATATGTTCATTGCAGCACTGTTTACAATAGCAAAGACTTGGAACCAACCCAAATGCCCATCGATGATAGACAGGACAGGGAAAATGTGGCACATATACACCATGGAATATTATGCAGCCATAAAAAACGATGAGTTCATGTCCTTTGTAGGGACAAGGTTAAATCTGGAAACCATCATTCTCAGCAAACTGACACAAGAACAGAAAAACAAACACTGCATGTTCTCACTCATAGGCGGGTGTTGAACAGTGAGAGCACACGGACACAGGGAGGGGAACATCACACACTGGGGTCTGTTGGGGCGGAATAGGAGAGGGACAGAGGGGGTTAGGGAGTTGGGGAGGGATAACGGGGAGAAATGCCACATATAGGTGACAGGGGGATGGAGGCAGCAAACCACATTGCCATGTATGTACCTATGCAACAATCCTGCATGTTTTGTACATGTACCCCAGAACCTAAAGTGCAATTAAATATATATATATAAAGAAAATATTTGCAATGCAAATTGATAAAAGATTAATTTCAGAATATGTAAAGAATTTCCACAAACCAATAAGAAAAAGGCATGCCTGCAAATAGAAAAGGACATTTCGGCCGGACACGTGGCTCACACCTGTAATCCCAGCACTTTGGGAGGCCGAGGCAGGTGGATCACATGAGGTCAGGAGTTCAAGACCAGCCTGACCAACATGGTGAAACCCTGTCTCTACTAAAAACACAAAAATCAGCCAGGCGTGGTGACAGATGCCTATAGTCCCAGTGACGTGGGAGGCTGAGGCAGGAGAATTGTTTTAATTCCAGTATGGTCAGAGAACATATTTTGAGTTATTTCAATCCATTGATATTTCTTGAGGCTTGCTTTGTGATCTAGCATATGGTCAATTTTGGTAAATGTTTCACATGTACTTGAAAAAGTGTTTCTTTTTCCACTGTTGGGCACAGAGCTCTGTCTGTCAGGTCAAGTTTGCGGATGGTGTTGTTCGTATCTTCTCTAACCTTGCTGATTTTTTGGTCTGCTCTTAGAGCTGACAGGAAAGGTTTGTTCAAGTGTTAGTCTCCCACTTCCATTGTGGTGTTTTGTACTTTTCCTTTTAATTCAGTCGACTTTTGCTTTTATATTTTGAAATGATGTTATTGAATACATACAGGTTTAAAATTGTCACATCTTCCCACTGAATCAAAAACCACATATTTGTGTGGATGTATTTCCTTTTCTTCCTTATACAAAAGCTAGTGTCATTTACAAACCTCTCCTTCATGTAATGCTTTTTCTTTCTTCGTGAAACCCCTACTGCTAAGTAAATAATCATTAATTTGAAAAAAAATTGCACTAATTCCAATTAAAAAATTGGCTGGGCATGGTGGCTCACACTTGTAATCCAAGCACTTTGGAGGCCAATGTGGGCAGATCACCTGAGGTCGGGCGTTCAAGACCAGCCTGACCAACATGGTGAAACCCTGTCTTAAAAAATAAATAAATAAAAAATAAAAAATTATGATGCATTCCACCCAACCTAAGATACTCAAATGATTTTTACTGTTAGGAAAATGCATTAATATAAATGTATCAATAAAACAAGTTTAGATAAATAAAAATAATATTTTAAACATAAAAACACAATTTCCATATACAATTTATTATATCAATGGTTTATTGGCCTCATTTAAAAAAACAAGACAAGGTTTGAATGGGGACTGGGCACAGTGGCTCACACCTGTCAACACAGCAATTTGGGAGGCCGAGGAGGGCAGATTACTTGAGGTCAGGAGTTTGAGACCAGCCTGGCCAGCATGGTGAAACCCCGTCTCTACTAAAAATACAAAGAATTAGCTGGGCATAGTGGCAGATGCCTGTAATCACAGCTACTCAGGTGGCTGAGGCAGAAGAACTGCCTGAACCCAGGAGGCAGGGCCAAGATCACACCACTGCACTCCAGCCCTGGTGACAGAGTGAGACTCCATCTCAAAAAAAAAAAAAAAGTTACAGAGGAACACCTTGAGGGCAAAATAAATACTGAACCCAAAAGCACTTCCAGATATATGGAAATAGCCTGTACGCTCATACAACTTCAGAATCATAGACCATTCAGCCCTCTCAACGACATACATTTGCAAAGGCAGACACTTGGGATTTATCCAAACATGGCATGCAATGCAGTCTAGTTCCACATGATATTGTTGGATTAGAAACTGTTTTTTTTTTTTTTGTTTTTTTTGGG